GCCGGTCATGGCGTGTGTGGAGGGCATGCTGTACTCCGTGTTGTAGAACACCTCCACTTTGACCACAGGAGGAGAGGCGGGACGGGTCCAGCGGACCACATCTTTCGTGGACTGGCCGAGGAACAGCACCCAGGCCCACACCACGATCAGCTGCCGGCTCACATAGGGGTCGACGTTCCACATCAAGAAGGGGAAGAACACGATGAAGAACATCTCGTTGCCCAGCTCGGTGCCGACGGTGAAGAGATAGAAGAGAAACCTGTTCTCGATGATGAACTCTTGGCCAACATCACCGGTCAATGAGTTCCTCCGTAACGGCTTCACCGTGCCTTTGGAGTCCCTCTCCGCGTCTCGCCCCGAGGGTCCGTTAGCGGAACATTCGTCCTGTTCAACATTTTCAACAGCATTTAAACTTTTTCTCAGCCTTTGGCCCGGAAGTCCGTGTGCTGAGTCTCCACCAGCCGCGCATTGCCCCACGCAAGCACCGTTGACCCCAAGCGTCTCGCCAGCCTCGGCCGGTTTTTTAGGAAACGTCCCGCGGACGCCGCAGAGCTGCTGGAATCTGGCGACATGGCAGGGATCCTGTAGGTATCGACAAAGGGAGACGAATCCGTGGAGCGCGTCGCTTGCCATGGTGAAAGCGAAAGGGCTGAATCAGTATCCCACGCGCTGCTCACGAGAGGCTGTAAACACCAGCGCGTGCAAAGCTGCACTGAATAATGGCTGGTTATATTGCACGGCGCATAGCTATACAATCTTCGAGTCTTCAAAGCGCAGGAGACAGTGGTAAAGTAGAGTGGCTATTTGACTGGGAGCTAGGAAGTACCCTTCCGTTATTATGAGGTACGTAGCTGAAGGCGGGGACGAGCACTGGTAGTGACGCACAGTAGGTCCCGGTCTTTCTCAATTATGGTCTGCTGGGAAAAAAATGTAATATTCACTAATGAAATAACGTTATAGTAACTAGCATGAAACAGGAGGATCAGAAAATGTGCGGAGCTTAGCGCTTTATCAAGAATGATGAGATCGAAAATTAAATCTTCATTAGTTATTCACTCTGCATAGTATATTCAATGGCTATTACCGTTTTTCAAGTGTAAATGATCATACAGGACGCTTCTGAAGCAGCTCGTTGATGTCGAGTTCACGTGTTAACTGTTACTTTTCTCCGCGCTGGTTAGGCTTCACCAATCAGTCATTAAAGTAGTGGATGGGAATTTATAAAAAAAAAAATCATAATAATTTCAAAGAGATTGCTGAGTATTTCTGTTTGTGCGAAAAAATGCACAAATGCTGGGAAATAACGAAGTCATACGTTTGATAATATGTCTCCAAGACAAAACCTCACGAGGTTTATGCGACTCAGTTGAGTTTTCAGTTGAGTAAGCAGTCGAGCGCCCCCTAAAGGTAAACTAAGTATTTTGGTAATTATTGTAAAAATGTTAACCTGTGCAATTGTACAATTTTGTAAATGTTAAAAATAAGTTTTTTTTTTAAAGAAAATGATTCATAAACATAAAAATGAATATAGCATAAAAATGATGCCAACTTTATGGCTCATGAGTAGACCAAGACAAAACCTCACGAGGTTTATGCGACTCAGTTGAGTTTTCAGTTGAGTAAGCAGTCGAGCGCCCCCTAAAGGTAAACTAAGTATTTTGGTAATTAGTGTAAAAATGTTAACCTGTGCAATTGTACAATTTTATAAATGTTAAAAATAAGTTTTTTTTTAAAGAAAATGATTCATAAACATAAAAATGAATATAGCATAAAAATGATGCCAACTTTATGGCTCATGAGTAGATGATCCTTTGTCTGAAAAAATACCTCATGACATGAAATGTTTAAAGATTGTTATAGTCTATCTTTTAACGTGTGTCTAGCAGTATCAGATTGAAACTTCATAAGTACCTTAAAGCAAGACCTTACAGTTGTAAACAATTTTCAACAAATTTAACAAAGATTAATAAACACTGCAACAAATGTAGGTCATGTAGGTTAAGGCATCAACTAACTTTGCTACTTCTCACTCTTTGAACAGTGACTAATAGTTAAGGAATAGGTACTAGTATTTAATGAGTTGAGTGCTACTGGCTAATTGAAAAGATACTGATCAATAAGTGCTAATGCATTATAGCTCGTAATATAAAAAATGCTTGTTAGTTCAGGGAAAAAAACAGATTGCTAAGAACGGACCAACGGAATACTGTCAACTTGTCTCACGTGGGTACGATTATCGATTGGTTTTGTGTGTGAAACAGCTCAAGAGTGCATCATACCTGCCACCGGCTGCATGTGAGCAGGAACAGACAGAAGGGCAGCGCGGTGCCGGTCATGGCGTGTGTGGAGGGCATGCTGTACTCCGTGTTGTAGAACACCTCCACTTTGACCACAGGAGGAGAGGCGGGACGGGTCCAGCGGACCACATCTTTCGTGGACTGGCCGAGGAACAGCACCCAGGCCCACACCACGATCAGCTGCCGGCTCACATAGGGGTCGACGTTCCACATCAAGAAGGGGAAGAACACGATGAAGAACATCTCGTTGCCCAGCTCGGTGCCGACGGTGAAGAGATAGAAGAGAAACCTGTTCTCGATGATGAACTCTTGGCCAACATCACCGGTCAATGAGTTCCTGCGTAACGGCTTCACCGTGCCTTTGGAGTCCCTCTCCGCGTCTCGCCCCGAGGGTCCGTTAGCGGAACATTCGTCCTGTTCAACATTTTCAACAGCATTTAAACTTTTTCTCAGCCTTTGGCCCGGAAGTCCGTGTGCTGAGTCTCCACCCGCCGCGCATTGCCCCACGCAAGCACCGTTGACCCCAAGCGTCTCGCCAGCCTCGGCCGGTTTTTTAGGAAACGTCCCGCGGACGCCGCAGAGCTGCTGGAATCTGGCGACATGGCAGGGATCCTGTAGGTATCGACAAAGGGAGACGAATCCGTGGAGCGCGTCGCTTGCCATGGTGAAAGCGAAAGGGCTGAATCAGTATCCCACGCGCTGCTCACGAGAGGCTGTAAACACCAGCGCGTGCAAAGCTGCACTGAATAATGGCTGGTTATATTGCACGGCGCATAGCTATACAATCTTCGAGTCTTCAAAGCGCAGGAGACAGTGGTAAAGTAGAGTGGCTATTTGACTGGGAGCTAGGAAGTACCCTTCCGTTATTATGAGGTACGTAGCTGAAGGCGGGGACGAGCACTGGTAGTGACGCACAGTAGGTCCCGGTCTTTCTCAATTATGGTCTGCTGGGAAAAAAATGTAATATTCACTAATGAAATAACGTTATAGTAACTAGCATGAAACAGGAGGATCAGAAAATGTGCGGAGCTTAGCGCTTTATCAAGAATGATGAGATCGAAAATTAAATCTTCATTAGTTATTCACTCTGCATAGTATATTCAATGGCTATTACCGTTTTTCAAGTGTAAATGATCATACAGGACGCTTCTGAAGCAGCTCGTTGATGTCGAGTTCACGTGTTAACTGTTACTTTTCTCCGCGCTGGTTAGGCTTCACCAATCAGTCATTAAAGTAGTGGATGGGAATTTATAAAAAAAAAAATCATAATAATTTCAAAGAGATTGCTGAGTATTTCTGTTTGTGCGAAAAAATGCACAAATGCTGGGAAATAACGAAGTCATACGTTTGATAATATGTCTCCAAGACAAAACCTCACGAGGTTTATGCGACTCAGTTGAGTTTTCAGTTGAGTAAGCAGTCGAGCGCCCCCTAAAGGTAAACTAAGTATTTTGGTAATTATTGTAAAAATGTTAACCTGTGCAATTGTACAATTTTGTAAATGTTAAAAATAAGTTTTTTTTTTAAAGAAAATGATTCATAAACATAAAAATGAATATAGCATAAAAATGATGCCAACTTTATGGCTCATGAGTAGAGTTGAGCATGAGTTGTCTCAAAAAATACCTCATGACATGAAATGTTTAAAGATTGTTATAGTCTATCTTTTAACGTGGCGTAACGGCTTCACCGTGCCTTTGGAGTCCCTCTCCGCGTCTCGCCCCGAGGGTCCGTTAGCGGAACATTCGTCCTGTTCAACATTTTCAACAGCATTTAAACTTTTTCTCAGCCTTTGGCCCGGAAGTCCGTGTGCTGAGTCTCCACCCGCCGCGCATTGCCCCACGCAAGCACCGTTGACCCCAAGCGTCTCGCCAGCCTCGGCCGGTTTTTTAGGAAACGTCCCGCGGACGCCGCAGAGCTGCTGGAATCTGGCGACATGGCAGGGATCCTGTAGGTATCGACAAAGGGAGACGAATCCGTGGAGCGCGTCATAACTCAGTGGCATTGTAAACATTTCTCCACTAGAGGGAGACTTTGCATGGCTTTTCATTTTCTGGTGGCATTTATCATTTTATTTTTGATTTATTATTTATTATAATTCATCATTATATTAGTTTTATTTTTTAATTCAATTAAATTAATTGATTTGAACGAAGCAATGTACCACTAATGCTTTCTGAAAACACAAAAACCCTTAACCTAAATTTGGGGAGTTTTTTTTTTTTTTTATTTTACCTACAGTCGGTACGGAAAGTATTCAGACCCCCTTAAATTTTTCACTCTTTGTTATATTGCAGCCATTTGCTAAATAACTCCGTGACATTGTAAACATTTCTCCACTAGAGGGAGACTTTGCATGGTTTTTCATTTTCTGGTGGCATTTATCATTTTATTTTTGATTTATTATTTATTATAATTCATCATTATATTAGTTTTATTTTTTAATTCAATTAAATTAATTGATTTGACCGAAGCAATGTACCACTAATGCTTTCTGAAAACACAAAAACCCTTAACCTAAATTTGGGGAGTTTTTTTTTTTAATTATTTTACCTACAGTCGGTACGGAAAGTATTCAGACCCCCTTAAATTTTTCACTCTTTGTTATATTGCAGCCATTTGCTAAAATCTAAAAATCTAAGCATTCCCTATATGAAAAATGTAACAGCCTAAAAGCAGAATCAAACTAGAAACCCAACAGCAGGACGGTAGGATCTCCTTTTATTATTTATTTGTGTCCAAACCAAAACATAACCAATGCTTTCACATTCAAGTGTTCATATTATGAAATAAAGCACTGTGGAATACATAACGCAAGGTCAACCGATACATAAATTAACGACTCTGTTCAGAGCCAATTATTTCTCCACTTGAATCTTCTAATGTCTTTACGTTTCACTGAAAGGAAAAAAAAGTTAAATTTTATTTATTTATTTTTTGATTAATGGAACTATACACTTACAGGCATTCTTGTCTTCCTCCATCACACTCAGAAGCCATTCCTGTGTTTGTTCTGGCTCACCTTTAAGACAAAAGTGAAAACAAAACATCACACCAGCACAAACTTCTGACCCATAATTTGAACTATCATTGTTCTCAAAAGTTGTTTTGTGTCTAAAAGAGGGGTTTAGCCAATTCTGACTTGGTTTGCCGAAGTTTTGCCAGGTTCTGGTCCTGAGGGATGGATGTCTCTTTTTCTGACTAAACAGGGCTTGATCGGTCCCAGAGCCTGATGTGACCATCTCAACCTGTCTGTGGTGCCTAGATTTCGTTCCCTTAACACCATGTGGGACATGTGAAGGGATAAAACAAACCATTTTCGGCATGAGTTTTTTCAAAGAGGTAACTGTATGTAGGTATAAATGTATGCAGATGATAAACATCTGTATCCTAAAAATTATCTTAAACAGAGCAATTACTTTAAGTACCATCCTCAAATACTGAACCCACTATGTAAACCATGTTTACAGAACTTAAGCAACAAGCATAGCAGCATTTGTTGCAAGAATTTCAAACCTTTGACACATGACCATATGATTTGGACTTGATGGTAGCAAGCATGACAGCTCTACTGGAGGACTGCAGAAACAACGGCAGTAGTCTTTATTAAATTCAGACGCTATAACCATATGAAATTTCTTTACTATGAAAGCTTGTTTCAAGTGGGGAAAAAAAGTCTGAATTGTAACAAGGGGGGGGGGGGTCAAATTCAGAACTGAGAGGGAAAAGGGCAGAATTGTGAGAGGAAAAGTAAAAAAAAAATTAATCCCATGGCGGAAACAAGTTTCCATATTTTACTGTGGAAAGTTTCTGGTGGGGTTTAACGCACCTCAGATTTCTGAGTGGTTTCCTTCTTTGAGTTTTTCTCCTTTTCAGCCTGAGTACAAATGTAATTATGAATAATGCACACTAGTAAGACAAAGTCATACAAACTGAAAAGAGCTGAAAAAAATAGTCAATGCATAGTACTACAGTTCATCAACTTACTGCAATTTTGTCCTGCCACTGTTGGTACTCAAAAGCACATTTCTGAACTAAACATGTCAGGTTAAGCAGCGTCACTCCAGATGATGGTGGCACTGACGATTTCTTTAGCCTCTCATAATGACCATGCATATTTGCAATCTCCTGCAATAAAAAATAAATCCATTAATTTCAAATTATCTAGATTTCAAGAGACATTATGCAGTGAGAACTGTTTAAAACAGATAATAAATTTCACAATAAAAACATTTTGCTATAGTAAATACTCACTTCTAGCATTTCAATGGAAGCGAGTTCGGTCACTCTGTTCTTGTGGTCCCGAAACTCTTCATTCACATTATGCTGAACGCGTTCTCTCGCTTCAAATGTCAGCTGCAAGTCAGTCACATTAGGAGCCTTTTACATGCTTTTGGAAGATATAGCCCTTCACCTCAAAACACAATAGTAGAGGTAGAATCTGCTGACCTTTTGGGGCATGGCAGTGAAACAAAAGGCCTTAGATGACAAAAGCCTTTTAAAGACGTAAACAACATCCAAATGCTGGCAACTTTTTGCATCCGCGATAAGCTTCTGCACATCGTACCAGTCCTTCAGAGCAATCCTGATCTAAGTAAATCAGACACACTCAACTTTATGTTTATCATATTTAGAAACAATTTGTGGGAAAACCTGAATCATTGGTCTCGATTGAAAAGAGAGTGAGAATACAGAAACCGACCACCTTTTCCTTAGGCCAAATAAGTTGTGTATTGTAAATGCCGTAGATCATATACAGGCCTCCCACCCGAATCTGAAAACTGTATGGGGGCAGAATGTATCTGTAGGCTATGGTGAATATAAGCCGCGTGAAGTATCTCTTCTCATGGTCAGACTGAGTGCCACTGTTGGGAAAAAGAGATGAGAGCAATTGAAATACAAGACTCATATAAAACCGTAATTTACACTAAAGCTCCAAAAACACATGCTTCATGTTAACTTTATGAGAAAACCATAAAAATGTTAAAACGTTTAAAAAAAGTTTTTTTTTTTTTAATAAAAGGTATTGTGCAGAATGTCTGTGCTGCTCTTTTGCATACAATAAAAGTGAATGGGAAGTGTGACTTTCAAGCTCCAAAAATGAAAAAAAAAGCTCCCCAAAATATTCCAATGACAAGTGACTTCACTTATGCCAAATCAGTAAGAGTAACTAAACTCAAGTACTGCAGACAGAATCAGCCCGATCTAGTTTTACAGTTCAGCATACTGACTATAGCTCAGCCAAAGCTGAAAATTCTGTCATCATTTATTTGCCCTCATGTCGTTCCAAACCTTTATGGCTTTCATGCCTCTGTTGAACATAAAAGATATTTTGAGAACTAACTCGGTGTTTTATTTTCTTTAAATGAAATGGGCAGTGCAATCAACATTCTTCTAAATATCTTAATTTGTGTTTCACAAGAGAAAGAAAGCCATACAGGTTTGAAATTATGTGAGGGTTAGTAAATGATGACAGAATATTCATTTTTGGGTGAACCGTCCCTGTTCCTCTGACAAAGCGATTATATGACCGTCTGGGTTTCTATGAAAAAAGTAATTATATGCTAAATTCTCCTTTGTGGGGGGGAAAAAATTATAAAACAGAACAACAACAGCATCATACGTTTTTGTAAATGACAACTTTCATTTTGGGGAAAACTATTAAGTGTGGCAAACATCTTAAAACCATCACCTGTACCTGTACAGATGACTACTGAGGAATCTATGTGAAGTGACTAAATTCAAATATACTATTGCACGTCTGATAAGCCGGTAGCCTATTTATAAGCAATAAAATATTTTTAATTCCCCCAACTACTATTACTGTAGTAGTGCAACGATGTAAAAGTGTTACTTACAAAAACACACCAGAGAAGTCCATCTCCCTCCAGATAGCAGAAAACTCCTCATACCGAACCGACTCGGTTTGCTGGAAGCGGCCCAGAAGCTCCTCACAGTCGCTTTTCAACGGAGCCCAGTAATATTCACACAGCTTCTCTATCCGACGACACACTCACATGAGAACCCAGCCCTGATGTCAAGCAAACATATCTAAAATAATATTTACAGTAACTTACTCCGCGACATCACCTCAAGGCCTCTATCTTTTCTGCGTACAGTCCTCTATCGCACTTTGAATGGTAATTGCCTGTGCACCTGCGCGCGTGCTGATTTAACCAACTAGCAGGTGTTGTGTGTGTGTGTGAGCGCGCGTGTAACGTGCCCAAAACCTGTATCTGCTAAATATATTGATATAAAAACATTCATATAAAAATACACTCATGGAATTAAACATGCACATGTTGGAGTCATTTAACAGCAGTGTTGCATTATGCATACTGATAATTAAAATGTTTACTGTTGTACAATGTATATGTTGCACGTTCTGTATGCAGTGTACATTGCACAGTATTATTTTTGTCCACTTGAAGATGGAATTAGTTGATGAAATAAAGATGTGAATGAAAATAAAATTGTGTGTTCAGATGACTTATTAATGCAAATGTTTGTGTGTATGGAGGTACTGCCCCCTGTTGTCAGAATAGGAATAGAAAACAGTATATATTATAATTTATTTATAATAGTACAGGTGCATCTCAAAAAGAAAAAGTTATTTTTTGTGTAACTTATTTCAAAAAGTGATACTTTCATATATTCTAGATACATTTTTTAAAATTTTGATGATTAGAGATGATTAGAGAAAGTCAAAGATCCAGGATCTTAAAATATTAGAATATTTACATTTGATTTCAAATTCCGGGTATCTCTTGTTCTTTGAAACCACAATAATGGGGAAGAATTCTGACATGGCAATGGTCCAGAAGACAATCATTGACACCCTCCACAAAGAAGGTATGTCACAGAAGGTCATTACTGAAAGGGGTGGCTGTTCAAAGAGTGCTGTATCAAAGCATATTAAATGTAAAGTTGACTGGAAAAAATTGGGTAGGAAAACGTGCACAAGCAACAGAGATGACTGCAAGCTTGAGAATACTGTCAAGCAATGCCGATTCAACACTTGGGAGAGCTTCACAAGGAGTGGACTGAAGCTGGAGTAAGTGCATCAAGAGTCACCACGCTCAGGCGTCTTCAGGAAAAGGGCTACCAAGCCACTTATGAAACAGAAACAACGTCAGAAGCATCTTACCTGGGCTAAGGAGAAAAAGAACTGGACTGTTGCTCAGTGATCCAAAGTCCTCTTTTCAGATAAAAGTAAATTTTGCATTTCATTTGGAAATCAAGGTCTGGAGTCTGGAGGAAGACTGGAGAGGCACAGAATCCAAGCTGCTTGAAGTCCAGTGTGAAGTTTCCGAAGTCAGTAATGATTTGGGGTGTGTGCGTGACGTCTGCTGGTGTTGGTCCATTGTGTTTTATCAAGTCCAAAGTCAATGCAGCCATCTACCAGGAGATTTTGGAGCACTTTATGCTTCCATTTGCTGACAAGCTTTATGGAGATGCTGATTTCCTTTTCCAGCAGGATTTAGCACCTGCCTACAGTACAGTGCCAAAACCACTTCCAAGTGGTTTGCTGACCATGATATTTCTGTGCTTGATTGGCCAGCCAACATGCCTGACCTGAACCCCATGTGAAATCTTTTCAAGAGAAAGATGAGAAACAGTCGATCCAGCAACACAGACGAGCTGAAGGCTCAACAGTGCCACAGGCTGATCACTTCCATGCCACACCTCACTGATGCTGGAGTTTGTGCTAAAGGAGCCCGGCCAAGTATTGAGTGCATAGATGAACATACATTAAAGAACTTTTTCTTTTCTGTTTTGCAAATCCTTTTTTTTTTTTTTTTGATCTTAGGAAATATTCTAATATTTGAGATACTGGATTTTTGTCTTTCATGAGCTGTAAGCTCTAAGCAATTAAAACAAAATTTTTTTTTAAATGTTTTACTTTTTATGTAATGAATCTAGAATATATGAAAGTTTAACCTTTTGAAATGTTAAAAAAAAATTTTTTTTAGATGCACCTGTATATTATATTATGATTTCCTTCCAGTCCTGAATCCTGAACAGAAGTTTTGTGAACTTAAATTCCAAGCAGGTATTTAAAAACATGTAAACCATTTTTTGTCAGTATGAGTTTTTAATAATAATAATAACAGCAATAACTTAAGACCATCCTTTTAGCAAATCCCTTTATACACAGAGCCAAATCCTCCTTCACTCAGCTTGTCCTCCCACCACAGCTCTTCTGCAAAAAAAGGGGATAGAGGGCAATCTCCAAACCTTCTTTCTTTTTGCCTCTTTTCTCCCATCATCTACCCCACCAGCCACAGCAGGCTTCTCATCAACCTGATGAGGATGTTTCTCCCCCATGATTTTGTTTTAATACATGCAAATGTGTGCATGAAAATTATTTTAGGTTTGTTAATTAATTTTTTCCTTCTAATCGGATAGGCCTACGTGCATTACTGTTTGTTTTGGGTGCTATAGGAGCAAAACTGCATTGTATGGAACTTATCACTGATCAAAATGTATTAGTCATGCCGGAAAGTCATTCAATGTAAAGGCAATAAATAAAGGCAATAAATCACCCGTATTATTATATTCTAAAAAAAAAGTGCTTTCATATGTTTGAGTGATGTTTTTTTAACCGGTTCACTGAAACGAATCAGGTTGTGAAAATGAAGTTAGAAATGCAATCTCTATATTAATGTTGATTTTAAGAATATTTGAAAAACGTTTATACCATTTTCAACAAAAATTGACTGACGACTCTTTTTTTTTACAATGGCTTACAGCATTTTTTTAATTATATTTAATAAAATAAAACCTTTTTTGTTCTTTTAAGAAACAAACAAGTGTAAACAAGTTTATATTTTAAAACAAAGCTGTTTCAGTGCTTATTTCTTTAATGGCATTTTAATAAAAATTACACCAAACTACGTTCCCAATAACTTTTCCACCAAAAATTTCAGCCTTTCTTTACAATGTCCAGACAGTTGAACCCGTACTTTAATTCAGATATTAAAAGAAAAATCATCTTGTAAATGTATTGTTACTATGTTTGAAATGCAATTTAATGTACTCCTGAATAACTTAATAGATCCAGATAAAAAAATAAAGTGTCACGTCAATTGAAACATGCATCACAAAATTCTGGTCCACAATTGTCTTTTACTGATTATGCAATAAACAAAACATTTAGTGTTAAGAATAAAAGGAGACTGGAGACTGCAGAGATAAAAGAGAATTACAAGAGCATAAAAGAAAATGTCTTTCCTATTGAAAAACAAGATAAAAGGTCATAAAATACTTGCAGGACTTTGTCAACAGGCTGACATTCATTTGAAAGCATGATGAAAACAAATATTGTCTTAAAACTACGCATTCATGTTCTAATGCCATTATAAATACTTGTAAAACTGGGATATAAATGATACATCAGCTTTGCATGATCTAAAACCGCTCATGTAGCAGAAAAATAAAATGGTTACCAGCTATGACATCTCACAAGCATGAATTACCTTAAGAATCTACCACAAAGAGAACTAAACAGAAAAAATGACCACTAAAAATATAAAAATCTATTGCATAATTAAACTATAAATCTGCTTTAACCTCTTTGAGACAAAACACCACAGCATGATTTTGAATTCCCTTTTTTGCACAATCTCCATCATTACTTTCAATCGCTCTTTTACAATTCATCTGTGCTGTTCAAGAGAAAACTTAAAGTGATGTAAGCAAATAAGCAACACTCACAAACATCCAACAGCGTTTAACCATTGAGCCTATGAGTGCACACAAAGAACTCTCATGTAACCGCTACACAACAAAACTCAAAAGTGAGAAGAGAAAAAATAAATTGTTCAATCTTTCATTAAAAGTACATATTCGTAAAAATGTTTTTTTTTATATTGCATGGACTGCTGGTATTCTGTCTTAAGAAAATAGATTATTGTGCGACTGTAGCTACAATACACACGCTTTGGGGAGGGGCATAAAACACAATGGAGGGTTTTTAGGTAAAAGTAGGGAATCCAGAGGGAGTGTGGGTGATTCTACGCATCAGCATCTGTGCGTTTTTGCATTTCACATTAAGGCTCTTAACTCTTGTCTGGTTGATGCCACTGTTAAGTTACATTACACTCGTCTGTCTCCAGGCCCTCTACGCACTGGGATGGATGGACTCCCTCTGGGCTCACTGGCGAGATCAATGGAAGGTGCAGGTTATCTAGTACATTTTTACAGAGAATATTAGGGCTTGGAATAAAAGGAGACAAGTGGAGGCAGATTTCAAGGATCGGGCAGGCGGGGGTCAAGGGGTGAGAGAGAGGGATGCAGTGTTCGGAATTGCTAAACACAGCAAAGCTCAGTTGACTTGGTCCAGAGCACGCAGGAGCTCCTCTCCCTGCAGCAGATGTTGGCGGTCCTGCACGGGAGCGTTGACTTCACAGTCGTAACGTGTTAGCTGAGGCAGCCCACCGCTGCTCTCTAAAGAACTGCACAACAGACGACTGGCCACATCTGCAGAATCAGAGGGAAAAAGACAAACTGATTTACAGACAAACTGTATATAACTCTAAAAATGCCAAGTGGTAAAAAGTACTAAAACAATTAAATAATTGAGTTTTCTTTGGGCTTCCTACATTTCTAACAATGGTTTGCATTTAAAAATCGATCAAATACATGGTACAGTGGTGATGATGGTCACTCACCAGAGGGCAGTATGAGAATGGTTTTGTTTCCTCCAAGCACACTCGATCCTTTAAGCTCTAAAACCTTTGCCCTCTTTCCAGGCTCTATAGCACTGTCCACACTCTGAAGCAAAGCACTCTGCAGGAGATTGGAGAGTGGCAATTAGTCTTACAGTTACATGGAATACAAATCTTCAAGAATCAGTTCACATGATGCTTCTCAAGGTTTTTTTTTTTTTCAATTATTTATCAGCCATGTTTTCAAAACAAATTTATGCAAAAAATAAATAAATTAATACTAAGTAATACTTTTTTTATAATTTATATAATAATTAAAAAACAATGACATTTATCTGTCCAAAATAATTTTTTATATTATAATAATTTTTATTTCATTGAGATATACGATATATATATAGTATATATTCTATATAGTATTTTTAAATATTATATATATATATATATATATATATATTTTTTTTTTTAATACTAACATAAATTTGGTCATAGTTTATGCACTTTTACTTAAAAGTGGGGTATG